CCGGGCTCGGCGGCTCACGAGCGCGACCAGCCGCCGCAGCAGCAGCAGCAAACTAGGAGCTCCAGAAGCACCAGCAAGCTCCCGCGCGTCCAGCGGGCCCGCAGCCCCCAGCGGGTCGGCCTGGGCCGCTGCACGCGGCAGGGCTGGCTCGCCGGGATGTGCCAGCTGCGCCATGTATGTCCCATCGTCGTCCTTGTGCACCTTGAACTGGGGACACGTGCCTAGGAAGGCTGCAACATCCGTCTCGCCCGCATCCTGCATGTGGGAGTCAAGGCGAATCCACCACATGGCCGCAAACACGTCGGGAAGGCGAGCCACGGGAACAGGCCCTCAGCCGCGCAAGACTTTGGCCAACGCCACCACCAGCAACGGGGCCGCAGCCAGCGCCGAAGCGGGGCAGCCACCGCCTCCGCCAGCGCCGGTGGCGAGGCAGCACGTTCCAGAGCCTCCGGAGACGCAGCGCCATCGGGACGCGCAGGCGGCCCGGCACGAGGCAGAACACGCTCATCCTCTCGAACGTCATGTGCGGGTGGCAGCAGCAGACAGAGCGGCGGCAGTCCGGGAGCATCATCTGCAGGTGGTGGGGGCAGCACCGGTAGCTGCGGCAGCGGGCGCGAAGCGCTCGCCGAGGAACGCGGCGGGGCGCAGGGTGCCCTCCTGGGTACAGCGGGGCATGGGGCGCCAGGGGCCACGCCAGCGGCCGCAGCAACCAGGTCCACAATCGGCGGCATGTCATCGATCTGGACGTCCGGTTGAACTTCAGGCCGAGCACGAGAACCAGCTTGGGCATCGGCAGCAGCGACTGCGCGAGCGAAGCTAGCCACGTCGCGCATGCAAGGTCGGCGGCCGACCCGGTACGCGAAGCCGAGCCTGCGCACGGCGGCGCGCAGGGGCGGCCTCGGCCAGTCGCCATGGCGCTGGCCGGAAGCATGTCGCGGCGCGCGGCTGTCCCGGGAGAAGGGGGCGGTCGGGACGGCGCGCATGGGCCCCTAGCCCCCCGGTGGGAAATGTCTCCACCTGGGCCGGAGCCTGACGGGAGAGGCAGGAGGGAGGAGGGAGAAGAGGAGGAAGTGGAGGGAGGAAGAGAGAGGGGGAAGGAGCGAGGAGGAGGAGGAAGATGAGGAGGAGGAGGAGGAGGAGGAGGAGGAGGAGGAGGGAAGGAGAGGAGGAGGAGGAGAAGGAGGAGGAGGAGGAGAAGGAAGAGGAGGGGAGGGAGGGCGAGGAGGAGGAGGAGGAGGAGGAGAGAGAGGAAAAGGGGGGAGGGAGGAGGGAGGAAAGAGGGACGGAGGAGGGAGGAGGGAAAAGGCAGAAGAAGAGGGGTGGAGGAAGGAAGGGGGAGGAAGAGGAAGGAGGGGGGAGGAGGGAGGAGGAGGAGGAGGAGAAGGAGGAGGAGGATGAGGAGAAGGAGGAGGAGGAGGTGGAGGAGGAGGAGGACGACGAGGAGGAGGACGAGGACGAGGAGGAGGAGGATAAAAGGGCGCCATTCCAGCGTAAAACGGGAGGAAGTCTCGGGCGGGAGCGTTGGTTGTGTCGGGACGGGGGCTGTCGGCGGCGAGCAAGAGCACCGCCTTGAGTTAAAAAGAGAGGAAGTCTCGAGCGGGAGCGTTGTTGTTGCTGGGGGGCGGCGCCGATGAGAGAAAGAGTTGCGCGCCTGTCCAAGGCAAAACGGGAGGAAGTCTCGAGCGGGAGCGCTGGCTTTGTCGAGACGGCTGCTTTTGGCAGCGAGCACGAGCACCGTCCCTGAGTAAAACAGGCCGAAGTCTCGAACGGGAGCGTTGTTGTTGTTGAGGGGCCGGTTCTGGCGGTCCCCCAAACCGCTTGAGAGTGAGCCTCATTTTCAATGAAAATACAGCCGGCGCCTCGGCGAGAACGCCAGGGCGCCTTTGAGGGGTCCAATAAGAATCATTGTTTAGTTCGTTACATACAACAACAACAACAACAACAACAACAACAACAACAACAACAACAACAACAATCATATCAACAACAATAACTACTACAACAACTACTACTACTACTACAACAACACTCATATCAACAACAATAACAACTACAACAACTACTACTACTACAACAACCACAATAACAACAATCACAACAGCAACAACAGCAGCAGCAACAACAACAGCAACAACAACAACAATAGCAACAACAACAACAACGACGACGACGACGACGGCGACGACGACGAAAACAACAAACAACAACAACAATCAACAATCAACAATCAGCAATCATCAACAACAACAACAACAACAACAACAACAATCATATCAACAACAACAACAACAACAACAACAACAACAACTATTACAACAACAACAACAACAACAACAACAACAACAACAACAACAACAACAACAACAATCACAACAGCAACAACACAACGGGAAAAAAACAAACCGCATGGAGCCTCCGACATCTGTCGCGTCGTCGGTGAGCATGGCTGGGCGATCGCGCGAACGCCCTGGAAGAAACCTCTCAGGAATCGAGTGGCCTAGCTGCCTGGGAGCCCGACGCGCGCTCTTCAAATACAGGTCGCTCGAGTGAATGATCCGACGTGTTGCGTTCCTTGGACTGGGAGCTATGAGACTTCTTCCATCCTGAACTGCCTGACCTGGTCAGATATCTAATGATAGCCGCCTCTACTTTCTCGAAGCTGTCGTTCTTGGACGTCCACGCTCGACTGCTGCGCCATGAACCACCTCGAACCGCACGCGCTCCCTTCCTCCGCAGATGCTACCTTCGCCTTCTTCGACCACCAGGTCGAGGCGCGCCAGGAAAATATCGAGCCAGACTCGACGCTGGAGCTGCTTTTCTGGAATGTCCTCGAAATTCGTTTGGATGGTCAACCCGAAGAGCTTCATGGATTTCTCGCGGCGACGCCGCTGGGGGGCAGTCGTACTTCGGTCCCAGCGTTTCACCGCCTCCTTCCATAGAGGTTGGTGTGGCCAGCCAGGCCGGCTTGGAGGGTCGCAATAGGCCCTCGGTGAGACTGCCCGAAGAAGGCCTGCAGGATGGTTGTAGCCAGTCCGCGCTGGGTGACCAGCCGAATACTGCCAACCAGCCCTGGTCCTCGCCGTCCCAAGACTGCTCGTCGGCGGCGTCCCTGCCGTCGTCGGCACGTAGGCCTCCGGGCCTGGTTGGCCTTCGGATGTCGCCTCTGGGCCTGGTTGGCCTTCGGATGTCGAACATCAGCGACCGCGCGACTGGCAATGGGGTGGGCGGCCGCCGCGCAGGACGGCGGCTGGCTCTGGCCTGCCCCATCGCTGGTCGCATGCCCCCAGGATCTGCGATCCTTGCCAGAACACTGGCGCGCTTGCTGCCGTTGGTCGCCATCGATCCTCCGCTGGGTCGCATTCTTCCGTGGATGTTTGTGTGAAGCTGCTGTGCTGGCGCCTGAGAGGTCGTTCGAGTCTCTGCTTTTACCTCCCCGATCACACTTTGCACGAGCTCCCTCGCCTGCTCAGGCTACATCCTTGCTCTGGCTGTTCCTACCATCGCGGCAGCTGCTGCGGCGCCGACGGTGCAAACGCTCCTGGTAGATCGATCCCTGAGCGACCGCCCCGCCCTAGCACACTTGAGCGCCGTAGCCAGCAGACGCCTGCATGGGCGCGCTAGCTAGCACCTCTGACCCTGGGCTGACCACTGCTCAGCTACCAAGCTGTGGGAGCAGGAGCGACAGCATATACTTACGGATTCGAAACGCAACAGGCACGGACGTGGGCGCAACAGCCCTGTCTTTCGGGGCTTCACAAGGAAGATCTGTACCTGCTAATGTGAAACACGAAACCAACTAAGCAGTCACACTGGGCATCTGGAGGGTCCAAGGGGGACTCAGGACGACCCAAGATGGCCTCACGATTGTCCCAAAGTAGGTCCGAAATGGCCTCAAGACGTGACAAGGGTCCCTGGAGGCGCCCCAAGAGTGCCGCCAAGAGGACGCCCACGAAGGTCCCCATGAGCAAAATCATTGATTTCCTATACAATGTATGACTGATTTGAGCGTTATGGACTCGTCCGAGCTTCAGCCAAGACGGCTCAAGAGGCCCCGCAGAGGCCGCCAAGAGGCCCCCAAGAGGGCCACTGGTCTTGGTAGCCACTTCCCCCAATATAGCCCCAACCCCGTGAGGCTCCATAGACGCCTCCAAGATGGCCAAAGAGGCCATGAGGCCCAAACGAGACCTCCAAGAGGCCTCCAAGAGGTAACGAGGAGCCCACAACAACCCCTCCGCATGCCCCCCGCCCCAAGAAGCCCCCAAGACGGCAAAACGGAACGGCAGACCAGTACGGCGGTCGAGCAGCGCGCACCCATCGCCCAGGTTTTACGCGCTTTGGACGTGCACCCCGCGAAGCGAGAGACATCACGACCAGAAAGAGGCAACACAACAGGGAGGATGAGGAGGCGATCCTGTCGGCGTGCAATGCCTTGGGGATGAGTGGCCCCCGCATTCAGGAGGGGCGTTGGCGTCGCGCTTCATGCATGAGAAGTTGCGGCCGAAAGTGGGCCTATATGCGTTGGCAGATCGCGACCAGTGGTCTCCAACTCTACAAGGGTCGTCACTGCGGCACTGCAGGCGCGGTGCGGCAGAAACCACTGAAGGTGTTCGAACCAGAACAGGCACGAACGAGTGGTGCATCGGGGGCGCTTATGTAGCCGCCAAGGGGCATCAATAAGAGCACCCATCTGAATTAGCGCAAGGACCCGTACAACGACAGCGCGGTGCGCCTGGACTTCTAACCAGCACCACCACCAAGTGCGTCGTTGGGCTATCAACGACCACTATGTGATACCGCACGTGGCAATGGCGTCAGGGAGCCCCTGTCTGAGCGGACGCCGAACTGGAGGATTCTGATGAGGAGGAGGAGACTTCCCAGAATTGCAGCCTGGTTTGCGACAGTTCAGGGTGAAGAGACAGCGTTCACGGGCCTGCGACGTGACAGACCCGACTTATTCTGCGCATCGCCCTCCCCTCTGCCCCGCTCCACCTCCTCCGCCTCTCGCCTCTGGGCTTGTCTTGCGCTGGTGTAGACCAAGAGGTGCAGCGTTCACTCGAATGCTGGCTGGGATCTCGCGTAGCCTCCAAGGCTAGATGTCTACTAGAGTTCCTGCCGTTGGCTGCGGATCAAAGTTTCATAATATCAGCTGACGGTCTCCCCATGAATTTCATAGAACCCTAGACAGCTTCAAACCGTAGCGGCTCGGAGCCGACAGCAATGCGGTGCGTGCCCTGCTGAACCGCACTACTCTCAAATCCATGCGCTTCCTGACACGCATCGCAGCCAAAAAACAGCTGAAATCATATCTCCGCGCCGGCTCATGTCACCGCGCAGCAACCCTGCGCCGCGGACGTACCGTCCGGGTCTCCGCGGGGGATGCCGTACCTTCTGCAAAGATCTCCACGACCAGACAGGGAGCGCAACACGGTCTCCTGCTCTGGGGTCGTGATGGCTCCCGGGCGGGCCATTCGTGCCCAGCCGAGAAGACCACAGCCTGGCACGTCGTACCTGTAGATGACTCGGAGGCACGCCAGGAACACGCTCCTGCCGAAGCCGCCCTTACAGTGGACGACCATGGCTGCGCCGTCCTGGAGACCCACGTGCCTGGTCAGACTGAGGAAGCGCCTGATGGCTCCAGCGGGGGGGACCCCCCCCCTCCTGGTGTCCTTGGAGTCACTGACGGGGACGTCCGCGTGCTGGATCCCGAACTCGGCAAACAACCCCGCGTCGTAGCTCCCACCGATCTCCGCAAGTCCGCGCTCGTCTGGGCTGTTCAAGCGCAGCACCGTCCTGATGCCCTCCTCCAGCAGGAAGTCCACATACGGCCTCGCGTCCGGCCAGCGGTCGCAGCCCTTGACCCGCGCAGCCCAGGAGCCGTAGGCCTTGTACACGGTGTGCACCGACGCGAGAGACAGCAGGCCGTCCTCGAACTCGGGGCAGTCCCGCTCCCCCGCGGCGGCGCTGAGGCACACCTCGGGCAAGCCATCGACCTTCTCCCCGACGAGGGCCTCGCCTGGACAGGAGGGAGGGCGCTGGGGAGAGAGTGGGCTGTCCTGGGAGAGCATCCGAAGCTTGTCCAGGGAATCCGCCTCTGGGACACGGTCGTCATCCCGCTCTCTGCAGAAGGCGGCGCACGTTGCCGGGTTCGGATCCTTGATGGTCGTCATCGGATCCGCCATGACAAAGACTGCGCTCGGCACCAGCCATGCCCCGTCGTACTCGCAGCTTGTCTTCCAGAACTTGCTGGCCGCGAGTGAAGCTACAACGCCATCCTCGATCATCTCGCTCCGCAGCCATCCCATGTCCCGGGCCATCTGCACGCCCTCCCAGCAGTCCTGAACTGTCATGCGGGGCGCCCCGTGCCTGGACGCCAGGTCCACGGGGTCGATCCAGGAGCACGGGAAGGTCAGACGTGCTTCCTGGGGCAAAGCGCCGCGCACCTCTCCCGCGGACCAGCCGAGGCCGAGCACAAGGTAGGCGCCAACGAGCACGGCAAGGTTCTGGCGCCCCTCGGGCTCGTACTCGACGGTGACGTGCGCCCCTCCGTCCTTGAGCCGGGCGTGGAGTTCGTGGCCGAACCACAACGTCTGGTCGATGGCCAGCAGGCCTAGGCAGCCGCCAAGGCGTGAGCTGTGATAGTGGCAAACCTCATAGCGACCGTTTCTAAACTCGGGCGCGGTGATGTCGTTGAGCGCCAGACGAACCTGATCCTTGGCAGCAGACCCGACGGGGCCGTAACTCAGCCGATATGGGATCAGAACCATAAGCTCCATCGCAGATGAACTGGACAGACTTTCCGGTATACGGAAAGCTAGTGTTCGGAAAAGTCAGCATGTAGCTGAGAGTGCTTGAGACAAAATGAACGCGAAACGAAGGTGCACGCGATGCGCGGGCCAATCAAGCGGCGAAGCAACTCGGAGCTAAACCGAGTTGCACTGAGTCTACAGTGCGCATGCGCCACACCAGTTTGGCGCTGCTTTCCACCAATCCCAACAGCCCTCTCGGCGTAGGTGGTCTGACAATGTCTTCCTTTCCTCTTCCAGCACCCAATCCTCTTCCCTTCGGGGAGTGGTATCCTCCGCGACCCCTCCCTGAGGCTTTTTGGGAGGGGTCCGAAGGGTTATAGCGTCCAAGTTGGCTCAAGATGGCCACAACAGGGTCTCCGATGCTCCAAGATGGCGTCCGCGATGGCTCAAGGTAACCGAAGATGGCTCAGTATTGCCCCAACGTGTCTCCAAGAGGCCCCAAGTGCTCTCGGAGCTCCCCCCCCAGATATACCCCCAAGAGGCCAACATCAATCAAGCACCTAAGAAAAATCGTTGATGTTTGCCTTCTCGCCTTTTCGCGTCCGATGCGCTTCTGAAGCCGCAAGCTGACCCTACGATGGCCCAAGATAGCCGTAAGAGGGGCCCGAGATGCCCCCCCAGACGGCCCCAAGAGCGCCCCAAGAGTGCCCCAAGACGTCCCAAAAAATAAATGCGATGGCCTCAGAAGGGGGGGGGGGGGGGGGGCAAATCGGGGATCCCCCGCCTTGTGATCTACAGCCTCCAGACGGCATCAGGAGGCCCTCCTGGGCTCCCAAAAGTGCCCCAAGAGGGCCCCAAAAGAGCTCCAAGAGGGCCCCAAGACAGTCCCAAGACGGCCCCAGGAGCGCCCAAGAGCGCCCCAAGAGCGTCCCACGAGGACCCCAAGAGGCGGTTTGCCTCCTGTTCCTCCGCCTCCCACTCCACCTCCTCTTCCTCCTCCTCTTCCTCCTTTTCCTCCTCCTCCTCTTCCTCCTCCTCCTCCTCCTCCTTCTCCTCCTCCTCCTCCCCTCGCCCCCCCGCCGGCCCCAGGCATGGCCTCAGGAGACCCTCTAAGGCCACCCTTTGCTGCCAGACGTCTGTCTGTTCACCCTGGTTGCCGCTGTGGTTCACCATATGTGTCTGTCCCCTGTCCCGTCTCTGAGTGGTTAGTGGGGATATTTTCTTGTCGAAACCGCAGGTGAAGGCGCCAGCGGCGAGTGAGGTCCGAGCGGGCCGCGCAAGAGCCGAATTGCCTAACGCCGACGGCCGGCGACCTCAGCAGCGCCTCGGCGGGCGGGCCAGCGTGAGGGGGCAGTGCAGGCTGCGGCTGCTAGTGGGGATATTTTCTTGTTAGCAGCCGAAGGCGAACGCGCCAACGGCGAGTGAGGTCCGAGCGGGCCGCGCGCGGGCCTAATTACCTAGCAAGTGGAAGAGCAGGACCGACCGCCGAAGCCTCAGCACTGGAGCAGCAAGAGGAGCCGGGGAGGGGGGGGCTGCGAGCTGCCGGGGCTGCCAGGGGGCTACAGGCGTGCGACAACTTGAGAGCAGGGCCACCAGGTGCGAATTGAACTGCAGCGAATTGACCAACCGCGGTTGGGTCGCAACCAAAATGGCGCGGCGCTCTGCCAGGGTGTGACCAGGGGGAAGCCAGCCAGAACACGGAGGAGACGGCCAGAGGTGCCCGACAGGGCCCAGACTGGTGCACTGGGTGGTACCACCAAAGTCGCATACCAACCCCAGAGACGCACTGGTCCCGCGAGCGTCCGGCCACGGAGGCGCCGGACACGGGCGAGGCAGCCAGGGGAACGATGGAGGAACTCGACACCGTCGGCGCCTGAGCTACCGGACCAGGGGATGCCACGCGCACTCTCATGCAGTCACCGACGACTGAGGACTGCCCGACCATGGAGACCCAAGCCTCAACGACGGATCGAGATAGCAGGAGGTGGCCGTGGGCGAAGCCGCCAGGACCGTAGGCGAATCGACACGGTCACCGGCAGCCAAGAGCGCACAGGCTGAACCACGTGCACTCAGGAGCCCCAAGCCCTGCGACATTCCGCCACAGGAGCAAGGGGGGGAGGAGCGGAGCTGGCATCCCAACCGTGGGGGGGGAGCCGCACCAGCACGGTGGGAACCAGGGGGCGCGGGGGCGGGAGCGCGCCCGTGTGGTGAAAACAAGTGCAAAAGGCCGATGGCCAGACAGGGCAGGTGAACCACGGCCCCAGCGGTAGTCCACGAGCCAATATTATCAGCTGGCCGCTGCCAGAATCCCAAGGGCGGGGGACAGCGGGAGCTGGGCAGAGAGCGCTACCAGGGAGTGGCTAACGGCCACTGATTTGCCAGTTACAGAGGGAACGCCACCGTGTGCGGGAGCGTATGTCGCCTCGTCCGTCGCCGCAGTCCTCAGCTGCTGAGCCGGTCCTCCGAGCAGGGGAGGCGCGACGCCCCCGAACAGCGTGGCCCGCTGTACCCCGCCGTGGGTCGGCACACCAAGGAACCAGATAGCAGCTGACGGCGCTGTCTGCAAGAAACCACAGCGTCCAGCGCGCACGTGCGCTGCAGGCTGCGTCTAATGTGAAACACGGGCGGGCGGACCCGCAATACTGGAGGTCCAGGGGCCGTGCGGGGCGGGGACCCCGGCCCCAGCGGCCTCCCACGTGTCAGTATCGTCAGCTGTCCACAGCCAGGATCCCAAGGGCGGGGGACGGCGGGAGCTGGGCAGAAAGCGCAACCAGGGAGTGGCTCACGGCCACTGGTTTGCGATTACAGAGGGACCCTCACCAGGTGCGGGGGCACGCGTTGTCTCCCCCGCCGCCGCAATGCAAGACCCCCGCGAGACTTCTGTCAGTTGCTGGGCTCGCCTTCTGGACAGGGATGCGTCACTCCCCCATACCGCGTGGCCCGCTGTGGCCCACAGCTGGTCAGCATACCAGGGTACCGGGAGCGGCGAAAGGCGGCATTTTCTGCAAGCACCACAGCGACCAACTCGCGCGTGCGCGGCGGGCTGCGTCTAGTGTGAAACACGGGCGGGCGCACCCGCAATGTTGGGAGGGGAGGGGAGCCCTGAAGGCGGCGGGAGGCCGCCGTGGGGGGGATGCCGCGGGGGGAGGGAGTGTCAGTTGGCCAGTGGTTGCCGGGAGCCTCTGGGTCACCGCCATGTGCGGGGGCGCTTGTCGCCCCTCCCGTCGCCGCTGTGGTCACCGCCTCTCTTGCCCCCCGTCTGCCAGTCGCCGTCGTCCCAGGCTTAGGACCAGGACCAGCTCTCCCAGTCCCAGTGCTGCTGGGAGCTGGTCGCTCGGCCCTTAGGCTGGAGGGCGCCTTTGCCCTGGCTCCCCGTCCGTTTGGCGCGTTCCCGCTCCCAGTCGACCTGAAGGTCGAGCCGCAGGTCCATCTCGTAGGCGTCGTACCCGCAGCGCCTCCAGGCGTCCAGGAACTCGCGGCAGGTTGCCTGAATTCCTCGCGGGATCGCTTTTTGCCTTGCCATTGGGTCCCGCTGGGTGCTTTCGTGTGTAGGCGTGCCAGACGCCGCTGAAGACCCCTCCCAGAGCTTTCTGGAGTCGCGTGATCTTGTTTTTTTCCCCACGATCAGCGCGGACTAAAGACAGTACGCTGTTCCTCGCGCCGCTCTCCGCATCCTCCTCCTCCTCCTCCTCCTCCTCCTCCTCCTCATCCTCATCCTCATCCTCATCCTCATCCTCATCATCATCCTCATCATCATCATCATCATCATCATCATCATCATCATCATCATCATCATCATCATCATCATCATCATCATCATCATCATCATCATCATCATCATCATCATCATCATCATCATCATCATCATCATCATCATCATCATCATCATCATCAGCATCATCATCATCATCATCATCATCATCATCATCATCATCATCATCATCATCATCATCATCATCATCATCATCATCATCATCATTATCTTCATCATCATCAGCATCATCATCATCATCATCATCATCATCATCATCATCCCTCCTCTCAGTCCTGCTCCTGCTGCCCTCCTCCTCGTCCTTCTTCCTCTTCCTCTTCCTGTCGTGACCTGTTCCTGTCCTGACCTCTTCCTCCTCGTCCTCCTCGTTCGCTTCCTCCTCCTCCTCCTCCTCCCCCTCCTCATCATCCCCCTCCTTCTCATCCTCATCCTGCTCCTCCTCCTCCTCTCCTCCTCCTCCTCCTCATCATCATCATCATCATCATCATCAGCATCATCATCATCATCAGCATCATCATCAGCATCATCATCAGCATCATCACCACCATCATCATCATCATCATCATCATCATCATCATCATCATCATCATCATCATCATCATCATCATAGTCATCATCATCCTCGCGAGCGAGCTGGCTGGGCGCACGACCTGATCGGAACTCACTGTGGGAAAGCAGGAATCGAATCAGCTTCCTGCTCCTGGACCTGGCTAAGTTCTATGAGGATGTTACCCACAACCATCTGCTTGAGGCTGCTCAGAAATTCGGTTCCCCTGTCAGGCTCATGAGAGGGTAGCGCGCCATCTACGCTGGCTTCCGCGCGCTGCTCTACGGAAAGGCGGCTTCCCAGGTCGTCGAGTCGAATGGGACTGGCTGCTCGGGGGCCACGACGTTTACTAAGACGCTTTTGTCAAGCCCGCTTCTGGATGCCAGGGGGCATCGAAACCTACTCTACTTGAGAAATGCCGTCGACGACATTACATTGCAGCGCCGCGGTGCGAGTCCAGGTCGCTTCGCAGTTGGCAGGTGGAGCGGAGTCCCTCTTTAAGTCTCTCAAGCAGCTGAAGGTGCCAGTGGAATACAAGAAGTGCGCCTGCCTCTGCTCTCGGGAAGTTGAAGAGCACCTCTCCCGGCTCTGGAGCCCCCCTCCCACGCGCAAGACGGACACAGCTAAGAATCTCAGAACCAACGCGACGCTGGGCGGGGCCAGGAGGGTCGGCATCCAGAATGCTCGTATATTTTCGTCGTCGGCGCGATCCATGAGGTTAAAGTTATTGCAGCAGGCTGGAGCGGAGATTGTGATGGTTCATCGCATGGGCCCTACAGCTGCGGCCCTCTGGGGCTCGAGCGCCTCCGGAGTGGCCCCTGCCAAGATGGCGGGCCTGCGTGTCGGTGCTGCAAATTCCCTCGGCAGGCTCCCCAGAGGAGGTTCGGTGGGGCTCCGCAGGTACACCTGCAGCCTGGGGTCAAAGGTCG